TTTTTCGAGGGAGGGAGGGAGTTTTATGGTAGGTGAGCAATTAGAGTGAGTTGGGGGGTTTCGAGGATGTTGGGTTTCGTGGGGGTGGGTGGGGTGGGGTTACGGTGGGTTTGGGTTTTTTTTCGATTTTTTTGTATGGGGTGGGGTGGGGTGTGTTACGGTGACGGTGGTGGGTGTGGTTGGGTTGGGTCAGTTTTTTTTTTTTTTTTTTTTTTTTTTTTACAGTGACGGTGGTGGGTGGGGTGGGGTGGGGTTTGTTAAGGGGGTGGGGTGGGGTACGTTACGGTGATGGTGGTAGGTGGGGTGGGGTATGGGTCTGGGTTTTTATTATTTACGGTGACGGTGGTGGATGGGGTGGGGTAAGGTTTGGGTCTGGGTTTTTTTATTTACAGTGGGTGGTGGGGTGGGGTGGGGTGGGTTACGGTAATTATGGTGGGTGCGGGGGTGGTGTTAGGGTGGGTCTGGGTTGACGTTGGTGGGGTGGGGGTGGGTTACGGTAACAGTGGTGGGTGGGGGGTAGTGTGTTAGGGTGGGTCTGGGGTGACGGCGGGGGTGGTGTTAGGGTGGGTTACAGTGGTGGGTGGGTGGAGGGTGGTTGGATTGGGTGGGTGGCCAAATTTTTTCATTTTTTTATTTAATTTATAACTCCTAATTTAGTTATACAAGAATATAATTTTAAATTTATAATAGCAAAAAAATTTACAAATTTAAATCAATAATTATATGTAAAAAAAATTGTAATGTTAAATTACATTAAACATCAAATATATTTCGTGGAATTCTAACAAATTGTTAAAGGCTGTAAATAGTTCAATTTGAATGGAACGGGTTGTAAACGGTTCGGTTTAAATAGTTTGTAATCGGATCGGTTTAAACGGGTTGCGGTTTGAAAATAGTTCGGTTTAAACGGTTTAATGGGTTATAACAGTTCGGTTTAAACGGTTAGCGGGTTGTAAATGGTTCGATTTAAACGGTTTTTTCCTACGGTTTAAACGGTTTCGGTTTATAAACGGTTCGGTTTAAACAGTTAGCGGGTTAACATTAATCGGTTCAAACGGTTTCGGTTTATAAACGGTTTGGTTTGTTATTGGTTTACGGTTCGTAACGGGTTAACATTAATTGGTTTGGTTCGGTTTCGGTTTGACATTATACGGTTCAGTTCGGTTTTCGGTTTAAAATTAGCGGGTTATAAACGGTTCGGTCCGTGATGGTTCGGTTCGGTAACGGACGGTTTCACGGTTCGGTTTGAAAAGTCCCACCCCTAAGTGTATGTGATAGTGTAATGCTGCCAACAATTAGTGAACTGTTCTTTTAAATTACTTAATATCCCGTTATTAAAGGGAGGACATTACTTGTATTGAACTGGCATACAAGTGGCACATAACATACAACCTGAGATGTTATAATTATTAATTAAATAAAATTAATCCAAAGTTTATAGTACTATCAAAGCCATAAGTCAAATATTAAACTAATGTCATAATATTTGGTTATTTCCAACATGATTCTTATTAGATTGCTTGCTACTACTGTATCCCTTACTATAATTATGGTCACGCCGACATATCAGAATTGGCGGTTTTTATGGTTACATTTAGAAAGATTCTCTTAACCGACTTTTCATGACAAAAAGATTTGTAAATCAAGTCTTAAGGTTAGCTAATTAATTAAGCTGTTATATTTAGTAATAATGTAACGTAGTTTAATAAACCATCTCAACTTGACCATTGTTAGTTTATGTTATAGTACGAGACAGTTAGGAGTATTAAGATAAAATGTGATTATCAAACAATATTATAAAATTAATGGGGATTTGAAGAATGACAGCCAACATACAGAACGTAAATAGTCGGCGCTACCCCCATTTTTACTAGTACGACTACGTATGTATGTTCTGTCAAAATTAAACATTCATTGCATAAGATTAAATTTGTTTGTTATTTTTGATACAGAGTATGTAGTTTGATTTTATTTGTACATTCTTCTTTAATTGTTGAATGGAGTTTGATATATTTGTACTTTTATATTGTTTTATTGTCTTACAAATGTGAATTGAAAGTAGTTTAAGTCACTGAATTGAAGCTTTGATATTCAATTCAAACTTGTCTAGCCCTTAGATTAAATTTACCAATTTAAAATTGAGTTTGTGCTCACCAAATAAAGTTTGTTTTAATTAGAGTTTGTAGTTTAAAACTTTTGTATGTTTGTAAGAAAAATTCATTCCATACATTAAGGGCTTGTTCTGATACGATTATTAGTTCAGTTCATTTCAACTATAATAAGTTCAGTTCAATTCAGCTCAGCTCTAATAAGTTCTATTCAGTTCGGCTCCTAATTTCCTTCTCTTATAAAATATTCAGTTCAGTTCAGTTCAACTCAAGAAAATTTTGTTCAATTCAGCTCACTTCAGTCAATCAGAACAGGCCCTAAGAGTCGATGTCACAAATAACTAAATTTAAAGATTACTTTGTATGTATGGGTCTTTTTTGTCAAATTAATTGTGAGCTATGGATTAAAGTGGGCTACAAAAATACGAAATTGTACAATGTTGAATGGACAAAGACTTTGCCAAATGTCAACCAACTATATACTTCGTATGTATAATAGTAGCTATATACCTAGGTATATAAGGAACAAATAAAATTATCACACTAGAATGTCATTTAGGCTTATGGGCTAAAAGATAATCAACCCTTGAATATTAATTAGCTATGCGGCTGTGCCTATAGAGGTTGGTAAAAACAAACCTATATTAGGCTAATTCATGTAGTGTTTCATTACCACATTAATGATTGTGGTGAATTTTATTTTGTTATTGTACCATACCTGCTCAAATATAGAAATATTATGTTCGCTCAATGTTCCTACTTTGTATTATTTGTAATTCAATATGTTCATCTCTAAGGATCTGTTCACATTTACTGAATTGAACTGAACTGAGCTACACTAAACTGAATTAAACAGAATTAAACTGATTGGAGCTGAGCTGAGCTGAACTAATCTGATCGGAGTTAAACTGAACTGAACTGAACTGAACCGAGCTGAAATGAATATTTTATGAGAGAAGAAAATTAAGAGTTGAACTGAACTAAACTGAATTGATTGGAACTGAACTGAAATTAAGCTGAAGTGAACAGTCTCTAAGATCCTGTGATTTTTTTAAGTACATATTATATTTTTGGAAATAATTTGACAAAAATTTATCCCTCCATACTATAATTTTTGAAATTTATGCTCATAATTTTATGTTCCTACTTTGTATTATTTAATATTCAATAAGTTAATCTTTTATCCCTCCATTATGGACAAGGCATCTACTTTTAGACATAATTTTTATTGTGAATCAAGCTTCATTTACATTTTCAACTCGGTGACTAGTACGAGTAAACTTCATATCTTTAATTAATTTATTTTTTTTTTCCCAAAATAAGTGACAATAGATCCAAAATTGCGAAATAACACAAATAAGTTAATATTACACCGTATACTATAAAGTGCAAGCCGCAAAATGAGCAACAACTTGAAATGAATTGAAAAAAACAAGTTAAAAATATGAAAAGTATCCGCTTAGTAATTGATTTTTGTCCCATCTAATAAGATGCATAATATCAAAGTTGATAATATTCACAATTCCCAAAATAAATGATACGGACTACGGATTACTAATATCTCTTGGATCCCGTACTATCCAGGTAATTCGGGTCAAACCATAGTCGGAGCTCCGTGGATTAAGACAAACAAGATAAGAGCGCGTACACAACACGGTAAAAAGTTAAGGATTTGAGTTAAAATGAAAGGAAAAGATGTAAGACACGCAGAGAGCACGTGAGTGAGATGAATGATTCGATTGCATGGATTACTGAATTGGGAATTGAGAAGAATGGCGGATATCTGCGATTTGCCGGGTGAGTTAGAGGAAACTCTTTATCCCAAGAAATTCAGTAGGTTGCCATTTATTTTTGATTTGGTCCAATAAAACCTACCCTCTGTTTTCTCCAATGAAGACCGATTGATCGAGGGGATTTTTTGGTTGACTATCATGCCTAGAGTCACTAATATGTTCGTCCGTTCTTTTCGGCTTATTTTCATTTCAGTTTAGTTTAGTTCTTTTCCTAGTTTCTCTCTTTTATAAAATATTCAGTTCAGTGAATCAGAATAGACCCTAAATGACTATCATATATTGCTGGTTTCGATGAATTTGATCTCATAATTTGTTATACATACTCTTGGTGTGTTCATTTATTTGTATAGTTTTCTATAAATCGTATGTATAAGAGATAAACGTGTTATTTATTCATGTAAGTAACACTGTCTAGTCTTTTGTCTTTATAATTGTACAAGGTGAACGTGTTCACATAACATCGCATGTCTTGTAAAGTTAAGCACTATTATGTATAATTGTCATTTTGTTTGCAAGATATGTAAAACACAAAGCTAATTTAATTTTGAGTCACATGTATAACGAATTTGATACAATAAAATTTGTAACTCCTGCCATAAATGAGAAGCATAAATTCTTAAAATAACAACAATAATGGAGGTTGCAACTTACAAAGCCATCAAGAGGTGTGGTATGGTTGTTTCAAATTCAGAAAATTAGGAAATATGGTTGTTACATGCAAAAATACTAAGGTTGTTACATGCATAAATACTAAGGTTGTTATCCGTTTATACTTTATAGTTGTCACACCAATTCAACCTCGACATAATTCACTTTATCATGATTTTCATTGCACAAATATAAACATAAATCCATCTCAATTCTATTACACAATCCCTCCATATCCATGTGACAACCACAATTTATAAAAGTCTAACATTTCAATCCATGTAACAAAAAGTTTTTCAAGATATATACTTCATGCTATAAAATAGCCCATGTCAAATATTTCGACATATGTTGTAATTAACAAGAAACAAATTAAAAAGAGTATAATGAAACTAGGATTGCGTTTGATTCAAAGAATAACTCTTTTCAATTAGAAATGATTTTGTGGAAATATTTTTCTATTAGAAAAAATCAAAATAGAAGTGACATGAAGAACATGAATGGAAAAATGGGAGCATAGAAAGAGAGCAAGAAAAAGGAGGAAAATATGACTTCAATTAGTACTAGAAAGAAGAAGAAAAAAAAAACATTTTTAAGAACTATTTTCACCGACTAATTAACCAAATAAAAGTACTTAAAAACCAAAATTTCCAAGTAAACAGTTTTAAACCCAACCAAGTTACCAACAAACATTACGCTCTCGTATTAATCCATGGATTTTTATGCATCCTAATTTCCCAGTGCCTTAAGTCATTGACTCTAAACAAATGAAGGGAATATCAGAGTATAGTCCAGCAAATTCGCTAAATAGTCAGAGCAACAATAAAAAAAAAATAAAAAAAAAAAAAAAACAAAATGATTGAGAGAAAACCTGTCAAATGTAGAGAGAATTAACTAAAAGAGTCAGCTCCCTTAACTCTGAGCATAACAGTACAACACATTGTCCACCTCAGCATCATTTACGAACCCAACCTTCCTTATAAATACCACTCTTCACACCCCCCATTTTTTATCACTCCTCACTCCCTCCTCCTCTCCCTCCCCCCCTCCTCCACATATCCTCGCTTTGGCGGAACTTGATTTGATTTAATAAAATTATTGGAAATCCACCGGTCTCCCGGTTCCGAAAAGAAAAAACAAAATGACTTGCTCAGAATTAAAATCATCATCTTCTCCATCATCCGTTACAGTAGTTTCAAAAACAACTGTTATCCCCTCCCAACCTTCCACCATAGAAGACCTTAAACTCTCAGTCTCTGACCTCCCTATGCTTTCCTGCCATTACATTCAGAAAGGCGGTCTATTCACCCGACCACCGATCATTTCCACCGCTTTGATTGCCCTCCTTAAGGAAGGCCTTGCTGTTACCTTAACTCATTTTCCCGCCCTCGCCGGCCGGTTTGTGACCAATTCCCTCGGTTACGTTCATATTACTTGCAACGATTCCGGAATTGACTTCATCCACGCCACCGCCAAGAGTGTCTTTATCCGTGACATTCTCTCTCCTACCGACGTCCCTGACGTCGTCAAGGAATTCTTTACTTATGATCGGACTGTTAGTTACAAAGGCCATTTTCAGCCGTTGTTGGCGGTTCAGTTCACGGAGCTTGCTGACGGTGTTTTCATCGGTTGCTCTGTTAATCACTCTGTTACTGACGGAACCTCTTTCTGGAATTTTTTCAATACTTTTGCTGAGGTTTGTAGGGGAGTCAAGAGAATCACGAAGTCGCCGGATTTTAGCCGGAATTCGGTGATTATCTCGCCGGCGGTTCTGAAGGTTCCAGAAGGTGGCCCGGTGGTTACTTTCAATGAGAAGGAGCCTTTAAGAGAGAGAATTTTCAGTTTTAGCAGAGAAGCAATTTTGTTGTTGAAATCGAAGGTGAATCACCGGAAATTGTCGAATTCCGCCGTGGAAATGCTCGGAAAACAGAGCAACGATCCATGGAATAACAACAAAGACGGAAAAATGGCGTCGAAAATCGAGAATTGGTTACGAAACGCGGTTGCCGTTTCGAAACCTCAGAGCTTGACCGAAACGGAATCAATGGCGGTTGAGATCTCGTCTTTTCAATCTCTCTCCGCGCTTCTATGGAGGTGTGTTACTCGCGCGAGAAAACTAAATCCTGATAAAACGACGACGTTTAGGATGGCCGTTAATTGCCGTCATAGATTAGAGCCGAAGTTGGACCCACTTTACTTCGGAAACGCGATTCAGAGCATCCCAACCGTTGCTTTGGTTGATGATGTGTTGTCCAATGATCTACGGTGGGCCGCGGAGCAGCTGAATAAAAACGTGAAGGATCATGGAAACGACACCGTTAGGAAGTACGTTTCTGAATGGGAGAGTAACCCCAGGACTTTTCCTTTGGGTAATTTTGATGGGGCGATGATTACAATGGGTAGTTCGCCCCGATTCCCGATGTACGATAATGACTTCGGGTGGGGAAGACCCGTGGCGGTGAGAAGCGGGCGGGCTAATAAATTCGATGGGAAGATATCCGCTTTCCCGGGTCGAGAAGGTGGAGGGAGTGTTGACCTTGAGGTGGTTTTATCACCCGAGACGATGGCGGGTCTTGAATCCGACCCGGAGTTTATGCAATTTGTAACTAGTTGTTAGGCCCTAAATGGAGAAATTGAAATTGAATGGTGTTGTTGGGTTGTAAATTTGATTGATGACCCTGAAGGGTCAACCCGTGGTGTTTGTCGGGTCATCGGGTAAATGGGTGGGTGAGATAATGAGAGAAAGCGGCCTTTTTCATATTTCTTTTTCCCCTTATTTTATGTTCTTCTATCTTAACCTTCTATTGTGCCATAATTCTAATTCTAATTCTAATTGTAATCTTACTTTTTACCTTAATTCTTATATTATAGAAGTAAAAATATATTTCATTTGAAATCCAGAGTGTTTGATTAATCAAATTTTATGTGATTAGACAAAGTTGACTTTTTAAATTGATTGAGTATTTATGCCAAGATAATGGAGGTGTGTGAAACTGTTTGACAAAGGACCAAAATCTGTATATGTCAAGGTCAATTACATCAATCATATAATCATGACATAAACAATGTGAGAAATAATTCCACTTTTTATATTAAAAAAAACACGTGGCTATTAACACTAAAAATGATAGGTTTAGTCTGTCAGATGCTCTATGTTAAGGATAATGAGGTAGAATCTGATTATTTGCCAACTTAAATTTTGTAAACAAGATGTGGGAGAATTAATAATGGTGACAACATTAGAAATTAGAATATAGATAATGGAGGGAGTCAAGGGAGTGCAAATTGCCACACTGTCACTCCAAATCAAGTATCTATACCTTCCTCCATTAAAAGAAAAAGGGAAAAAACATTAGAGGCTCACTCGTCACTAACTTATTAATTTCGAAATTTCGAATGTATTAGATGTTCGGGAATTGAAAAGTTAGATTAGTGGACTCAACAGACTATAAATATTAGATAAATCTAATACGGAGTATTTTATTTTGGCAGGTTTTGCGTATGGTGTGGCCAGCTAACACACAAGTAAGTCCTTCGACTTCGTAACTCCTAATCGATCGAGTACCCCTTATCGACCTAGTAGCCCTAACCGACCAAGTAACCCTTCAACCGAGTAACCCTTCCGACCTAGTAAACCATGACCGATTTAGTAATCTCTGACCAAGTAACCCCTTCGACTTAGTAACCCCTAATCCTACACCACTCTTAAACTCCACGCCAGCAGCAACCACGACCAGCAATCACTCCCGTATCCACTGTCCCATGCCACCAACTCCCGTACCACCAGCAACCACCCCCAAATCGAACAAATACCATGCCACCACCAACTCTAGTACCACCAGCAACCACGCCCAGATCCAACCAAACCCACAACCAAACCTTTTAAAAAAAAACCAACAAACCCAGATCCAACCCGAACCCCCAATCTTAAAAAAAATAAAAATCATTAAAAGAAAAATAAACCGAACAAATGCCTTAAAAATTAACAATGACTTCTAATTTCACTTCAAATATGGCTAAAAAGGCCAAATTCGACCATGAAACTCTAGATTGCTGAATTTAACCTTAAAAACCCGAACTTGTTTTCCGACAACGGAGTACGAGTAGCTCCCTCCCTAGCTACCACCTATAACTTCTCTGCCTCCCGCCGCCTCGGTCAAGGTGGGTTTAGTTGGGCTAACCGGAGAACAAGAAAAGAAGAGAGAGAAGAAGGAATTAAAAAAAAAAAAAAATTAATGATTGATTGCACGGTACGGCCAACCACATATAAAACTTTATAATTTTATTTTATGAAAAGATAGTAAAGACTATTACCTTTAATTCGAAGTAGTAGATTAACCAATTATTCGACATTCTTCAATTTAATAAAATAAAAAAAAATGCAGAAAATAAGGTCATATTGATAATTATATTTAGAAAAAAGGTAGCACTAAGACTTGAAACTAGAGTCAACGATAATTGGTGATATCTTTTTCATGGTATTGAAAACGAAATTACAGATATCTTTTTCATGGTATTGAAAACGAAATTACAATTACAAACAAATGAAGTAAAAACTATGGAGTACCTTGCAAAAGGGCCTCTAATTCCGACAACCTTAGTTGAACATGGGTCCTCCTAAACTCAACTTAGGATTATCAAAACAAGATAATATCCAAATTCATGATTATCATCACCTTATTAATTTTTTGAGTCATCAAAGTGTTTTTTTTTCCTTAAGTTGAAAAAAAAAATGATTTTACTCTTCAGCAATAAATAGTCATCAGACATTCAGACCATATCATAATTTTAGTTCACAACATAGTTTCTTTCTTTTACAATACGCTGACGAAAGTGGTTGATTGAAACTTTGAAAGGCATGATAAGCCAATGCCATTTAACAGATAATTATTGCGCTTTGCATTAAAAAACTAACTATTCACAGATATTTTCCTACCAAAACAATTATTGAGGCTTCATTGTTCACAATTCCAGTATTAAAACAAAAATCTCACAAATTCGGTATCAACACATAAAAGAATATCTCATATTCCTCCTTAGTGGAAGAAGAATGACAAACATATAAACATATAATATACTACTATACTTTAGTTATTATGATTGATTATCCTAATAATTAGATGTATATATAAGAGTACCGAATAAGCTGAAAAAATATGTACCACCATAACCATACAAGATATTAGGGATAATTTTCCAGTCGAGATTGGATTGTTTAACAAATCTCGGATATTTGTGTAACGTACCCCTTCATGTAACTCCAGAGAGAGACTTCGATTACGCAAGATTGCCATAAGAGTAGTTCCAAAGATAAAAATGTTGGGACAAGAGTGTCCACATTTAGAACTTTGGGATTTTGGGTGTCAAAATAAATCTTAAAAATTTGAAAATGATATTATCACACACATTAAAAGTTGAAAATAGTGGTTTCGAAATTTCTAAGAAATCCGAACAAGGGGGTCACTAGGAAGCAATGGTCCTATCTGTTATTGGAGTATAAACATCCTAGAAGCACATAGTTTCGACAGAAATCTATAATTCACATAGTCCATATTAAATTGCACCACCTTTTGAAGATTCCTCAAATATCATGTACAATCCTATTATAACATAGATTTTCCAAGAAGAATGATCCAAACACCACAAAACAAGGTACATTTCTGATATCATTTCCTCGAGTCGCTTTGCCAGGAACTCGGCATTCTGTTTCGACATCTCATCACTAATCAGAAAAAACAGACAAGGCACAATCCAAGGCAGAACCAAGCATTACAACTAGCATAACGATTTCCTTTAGTATATGTCTTCATGCATATATTCGACAACCCAAAAGTCGAACCTTCTCCATATCACACTGATTTTGTGCCATGTGTAACAGACATGCATGTATGTATAACCATTTCGGTTCAGGATGTTCCAAAGTCACTCCCTGTTAGGAGAGCGACAGGGAAAATCAATGCAACAAAGCTACGAAATTCTGTTTCTAACAACAGTTTCAGTTCACAGATAAGACTGATAAGAGGCCAATTCAGACATCTCAGCAATGAACAAAACCAAGCTGCAAACCTCCACACTCCAACCATTTGGTGTGAGGAGAGAAAATTATGCATGTCCTCTGGTAATTTGTCCATAAATACTACTGAAAGAAAGAATAAAAACAATGAAATGAACGAAAAACAGTTCAGATTCAGATAAGATTCATTAGTTTCAAGACTAGTTAAGTGTCTCAAAAGTTCAATGTGCAAACCCCATGTGTAATCAACTAATCGCCCCGTCAAAAAAAAAAAAAAAAAAAAAAAAACACTAATCGCCAATGCATGTAACCATGAACATAGTGTAAAGTAGTTCATTGTTACAGATCTTACCCTGAGTGTAGGCTAGATAGCAATTCAGTCATTGAGGGCTGCTAGGGTTTATCACCGAGTTAAACTTATTTCACATCTATTTCGACTAGTAAGGAAATCAGTTTTCTACTCCATTTTTCTACGTTGATTTGTACAAGGATGGAAAATAGTTTTCCAATAGTGAAAAGAGTTTATTTCCTTTAAGAAAGGTAATCCACAAATGTGACAATTGAAAACAAATTCTTCAAACCAAATTTATAATTTGAATGCAGTACTTTTAATTCTATACATTCATAGATGTGCTTGTTTTGTTTATATTGATGACAACTTTACTGGTGGAAACTGAGAAACTCCAATATTATAACAGAGGTACAAAATCAAATCTCATGATCCAAAATGGTCCCTTGCTAGTTGCTACTTATAAGTCCCCAAGACCACTAATATCCCTTCATGAGTCCTCAAAATACCGCCTGATAAGACACTATAACTAGCTCCCACCGGCCCAGTGGCCCCCCTACCTTTAAGAAAGAAAAGGTAAGGACACAAGCTAAAAGATCACAAACCAAACAGACTACACCTATCACAGGCCGTCCAGTAAGTTGAAAAGGTCTTCAGCATATGTAGAGGTAGGCAGAAGTTAAGGTGTGGAAAATCTCATCCCCAATCTTGGTCCATCTTAACATCATTTAATCACCCTCTTGTCAAAGGGCAATGGAAACGCTGCACAGAAGTCTCTATCTACAGTTTCTTCACGTTTTGAATCCACACTTGGTCCTTCCTACCATTATTATACAACTCTAATAAGTGATAAACCTATGCTTAGTCTAAATCACCTTTTGAGCATTGCCCTCTTACCCATGCACAAAGGACTCTGTTGTGGCCCACTAGGTCAATTCTTTGCTAAACACTTCAAACATCACTCCAAAAAAGATTTCTATACACTCACTGTGAAAAGGAAGCAGGAAACTGCAGAGAACAGCCTTCAAGATGTAGCTCCATTGTTAATTGCCTTGGCTGTAAGGTCCTTGTTACAAGCATATCCAAATCCAAGAGTTCACAAAAACCTCTTACCTTGGGAAAAAGATAGTTTCACAATTAAAGCCCTACCTTGAAATAGGCGTGACAAGATCAGCTATTGTACATAATATCAGAGTTCATATTATAACACACGAAGCAGAGTTCATATTTCAAATGAGAATCAAAGTCCATAATATCATCAATAGCAGATTAATAACAACTAGACACTGCTTGAGAGAACTTAAGACACACTGAAAATAACAGTTTTATATTCCGCATTAAAATTAATAGAACCTTTTGAGAATCAAAGTCCATAATATCATCAATAGCAGATTAAAAACAACTAGACAGTGCTTGAGAGAACTTAACACATTGAAAATAGTTTTATATTCCGTATTAAAATTTAAAGAACTTTTTGAAAAACACACAGTTATATTGCAACAGATACATCCTTAGTTACCGGAGGATAAAGCAACAGATAGGTACCAAAGTATAGGCTAGTTGATAGGAACCAAGAGGTTGCGAATATTGCGACAAAAGAAACAATGGGGAGGGCAGAGAAATGAAAGCTGATATAGAGTAGTAAATAAGAGGAAGGGGAAAAAAATAACTAGCCTACATGTAGGAGCTAAAATTCTCTAGTGAAAGTGGGACACATAAAGAAAAAGGGGCAAACCCGAGAAATGAGAGAAATGTAAGCCCTTCATTCAACAGGTGTTGAGCATTTTGTTAAACATTCACTAGCAACCATAGACAAACCACATGTTCAACTTCACCACTAACTCTCTACTTCCCTTGGAACAACTGAAACAGCCCATGTACATAGCTATACTGCAGGTTCTCTCTTGAATTCTGTACTTAAAAAAAAGCCACTAGTAAGTCCATTTCTATCTGTCTCCAGACAAAGCCAATACACATATCCTTCATGGTTTAATTTCTACTGCACCCTCACAAGAATGATTCGATCAGACCAGTTTCAAAAGTAAAGCATCTCCTGATAGCACAGGTCCCTTTCCTTTATCAACTTTCCTATCAATGCTGATGCAGTGGAGTACTGCTTGGAAGCTCATACATAAGGCAATAATTTTTGCCCCATGAATTTTATCCATACCAAGAGGAAGAGTATAGCACACACAGGCTTCATAACATCAAATACCAGTCCACCAAGAGACGATTAAGAGAACAAGCTAATAAGAACCATCCTAATGCGGTTAGAACATTATTTTCACAATGATCATTTTGTTAATTGACTAATCACTCAATACTTTTGAGTTTTGACAAATCCCATGATAAACACAAAAATCAACTTGAGCTCCTATGTATATAACCCTAACCTAGCCACTAGCCCTAACCAACATTTATAATCCAACACATCACTTTGCTTAACCAATTACACCATACCTAAAGAGCCAGAGAGAGCAATCAAAGCATCCTTGTACTCTTAAAACACAACCATTCTCCACAGCCAACAAAAAAATCATTATCCAACATACATTTTAATAGGGGCAGTGCTACAGCATATGATCCATCAATCAATTCTTATAACATGTGAAAGACTGAAACTTGGTAATACATTCAAGAGTATTTAGTCATAAAAACAGGAATTTTATGGTTAACATTACCATTTACGGAATGTAGACGCGTCTATATTCGTAAACAAGTCAAGTAGAACTATGTACAATATACACTTAATTATTCCACAAAGACCTTCAAACTATTTAATAAAACATAATCAAAGCAATAGAACCACAATAACCAGCTGATTAAACACGGCCATGAACAACAAGCAAGCTTACCCCCCAAACTGTATAGAGTCATCATGCCATAACTATCCCTGCACACTAATATTCACCACGGTAATCACTAAAATCATCTTTTGGCAGATAATTCTCATCAACCCTCTCAGCAATCTTCTCTTGTTCATACTTAAACCCTTCATCCAATGCCATCCCACCAAGCGCCCCAGCAACCGCACCAACAGCTAACCCTGTACCGGGCCCGAAACCTCCACTTGTCCTCGTCCTCTGCTCATAAGGACTGTAATCAACCGGAGCAGACGGTGCCCCATAAGACCTGACCCCACTTTGAGGGAAGTACCCTGAGTAGTATCCCATAGAGTACGGAAACGCCGTAGGAGGCGGCGGTGGAGCAGGGGATGCTGACCTGGAGCCACTGTACGGATAAGGAGGGGCAGAAGAGTAATAATACCCAGGATGAGGGGTAGTTTGGTAATCATACTCCAACCCACTATGAGGTTGAGGTTGCTGAGGTAAAGCTTGCTCCTTTATCGCGAGCTTCAATCGGATCTTCCCATCGGGGCGGCCGGAAGGTCGGAGAACGTTGTAAGTCCGAATGATATTCGGGTTATCGGGTTCGGATAGGGTAGAAAGACGAACCTGAAGAGACCCCACAAAAGGTTTAGGGGTTTCCGACGCTTTTGAATGGAAGATTTCAAGAGAGAGAAAAGCGTCGGAAAGAGGGGAAGTAATGGGTAAGAGAAATCGCTGGTTCCAAACGGGTTTAGTATTACCGGAATCATCCGATTTGGTGGTGAGTTTGTTATCCGGGTCGACCCAGAAAATGGCGTAGGGTTTGAGATCGCCGTTTTTCCAGTTGACGTTTTTGAGGTGTTTGCCGGAGATAATGGTGATTTCGAGGTTTAATCGGACTGCCGGAGGTGGTTGTTGCGGCGGCGGAGGTGGTTGGGAGGGTCGTGACATCGCCATTCAAAGAGGGGTTTTTGGAGGAGAGAGAAAGTGACGTGGGATGGGGTCAAGGGTGGTGTTTGGAGTGTTTGTTTTTGGATAAAGGGGAAGATTTTTTAGGGGAAGTTGACGATCGTGCCCCTGTTATTTTGGATGTTGATCGATACTTTATCTTTTGATCGACGGTTATTAGTAATTGCTTCTCATGGGTTGCTATTTACTGAAGTACTGAATTAGGTTTGAACACATGGCTAAATGCCAAGCCCTAGGCTAATTTTGCTTAGCGTCTGAAATTGAGCATAAGTTGATGTGTGGTTTTCTTTAGGTTACCTTGCCCGGAAGTCCTAATAGGTCGATTAGACTCCGACTAATCTGAATTTTTGAGACAAAAGACTTGAGTTTGTACTCTAAATAGTAATTAGAGTACGATATGTTTTAAGTTGAAATTAATCAGCAATCAAGTTTGAGAAGATAACGATAAGTTGTAGTGACCGACCTACTAAGCACCAGAAGCCAATAAATGCTTCAAACCAACCACGGCAACCAAGCCACCATCTACAGCTCTACTACCAGAGTTTCCTTTTGGGAATAAATTGGGATCCAATTACCAATATAGTATTGAAGTATTATCCAGTAGGGGTATTAGGCATTACAACTACTAATAGTATAAATCATGAGTAGAGACTAAAGCACAACACATGCAGACAGTTTAGTGCCATAATTAACAGCAAGCAGCATATACATTTGCATTTTTCAAATCTTTAATATAAGGGAGCAAGAAAGCAATTTGTCCCAGCAAAAGCTTACCCATATGCCAATTCTTGTCAAGCTATTTGTATTTTGTAGGTATTGATGTTTGAACCAGATCTTTGCAGCAAAGAAAACGCCACACACATACAGGAACTCCTACTTCTAACAGGCCTTAACCAAAGTGAACCTGCAACAAAGTAGGCACGAAACATGTTACTAGCAAAAAAATACATTCATAGAAGAAAAGTAGAGTGAGCCTGCAAATATGACATGAGTAATAAGCATGGGTTTAGGGGAAGCTCCCAAGTCCCAAACAAGCATGACCACGTATAGTTGTATCACAAAATTTCATACTGTCATAACAATTGTTATTATACAATCAAGGCAACAGCTAACATTTCAGCATTTTCTTTCAACGTAGTCAAAAAGTTATTGAACTCCAAACAAGGAAAATTGTGGTAATGTGCAGGAATGATTTCATGAGCACTATGGCTTCGAAGTGTTCAAACTTAGAATTGAAATAGAATGATGAATAAAGCAAGGTAAGTATGAGAGAGATGTCTATACATCCATTGTTGTTGTATACTTGTATTTTATGCTGCAATACTCTTTGCATGAGAGAAGAGATACACCAATTTAACAAGAGTTACCTTCCCTGTACTGGACACCAACTCTTCCAACTTTTTGATAATATGTGGAATACTCTGGGTGGCGGCATGATTTGCACTTTCCTTGTCAAATTTAGTTCGTCCATTTTCCAGCATAGCTATCAAACTCAAATCTGAAGACAAAGTACAATCAGTGCTTGAATACTCAGACAACATTCATAGGATTTTTTTTTTAACCAAACAGCCATCTCTCTCTTTGTTCTAGTTAACAATTATTGACTCAAATTCCCAAAGCTACCATTCTCAAAAATGAGTTTACACTCAAGAATTTACAAGGTTTGTAGTTGTGAGGTGTATGTTGGTATTTCTAATCGTTCTGCATAAACTGCAGACCCAAAATCAGCTGTGTATAAGAGTTTACTCTAGCCGAATGTGCTGAAACTCTTACTCTAGCAGAGTTCACTCTATCATGGCATGTGGTACTCTCAAGAGGATTTTTTGCAATGAATTATACGCAAATTTGATCATATAATCACTCGGTCATTTTCAGATAGATACAGATGCAGGCTTCAGCTGTCTATACAATTCATCAAGCAAAATACATATCTCATTGGATGCAGGGTGAGATTTATCAGCAGCAACAAACTGATGCAATTCATTTTCCAGTTCAATCCAACTAGATCCAGGAAAACTTTTCTCTATCCCTTGTTCCCTCATAATAGCCCTGATTTTTTTAACCTCACTCCACCTACTTGCTTCAGCATACATGCTAAGTAGCAGGCTATAGTAACCACAGTTATCAGGCTCCAACTCCATTAGCTTACTGACGGCTAGTTCAGCAATCTCTAAGTTCTGACATAGCTTAGAGCCACTTAATAGAGCACCCCAGATAACTGAATTTGGTTCAATTTTCATACTTTTAATCAGTTCTAATGCATCTTCGAGCAACTTAGCTTTGCATAGTAGATCAACCATACAGCCATAATGCTTTAGCTCTGGACAAATTTGAAAATCATTAATCATGCTTTGGAATATCTCACGACCTTCTTCGACTAGCCCTGCATGAGTGCATGCACTAAGAACACTAATAAAAGTTACCCCATTAGGTTTAACAATCTCCTCTAACATTTTATCAAACATAGCAATCGCTAATTTTCCATACCCATGAGCCGCAAGCCCTTCAATGATAGAATTCCAACAATAGAGGTTTTTCTCCCTTAAGTTGAAAAAGATCACAAGCGATCTTTCTAATTTCCCACACTTGGCATACATGTCTACCAACGCAGACCCAATATAAACATCGAGTAAAAACCCCTCTCGTACAATATAGAAATGAATCTTCCTTCCTAAATCAAGAGCTCCTAGATGTGCACAGCATGAAACTACTGTTGCTAATGTCCTCTTATCAGGGCAGATCCCATTCTTCAGCATCTCATCATAGGCAGCCAACGCCTTTTTGTACTCTTTGTTCTGAGTATAACACGCGATCATAGTAGTCCACGAAACCAAATCCTTTTCAGACATCTGATCAAACAACAACTCCGCAGCCTCAACATCCCCTAGCCTCGCGTACCCATCAATCATAGTATTCCAGGCAGTAGCATTCCTCTGAGGCATCCCATCAAACAAGTTCCTCGCAGAAGCCATATCTCCACCCCGAGCATGAACCGAGACAATAGTGCTCCACGCAAAAGTATCTCTCTCAGGCATTTCATCGAACACCTTCCGTGCTTCAACAAGCCTACCAAGTTTCCCATAAAAATCAACCAAAGCAGTCAACACAAAGACATGAGCATCAAACCCCAATTTCCAAGCATGACAATGAACACATTCCCCAGTTTTCAAATCAAACGCTTGACCACAAGCCTTAATTAATGGCGATAAAGTATAACTAGTTGGGTAAATTGAAGTTCTCAACATTTTCAAGTATAATTTCAAAGCTTGAATTGGTCTTCCCCAATCAATTACACCTCTAATCAATGAATTATACACAAAAACATTAGGAGATTTCATCTGGGTAACAGCTAAATTAGCATAATCTATCTGATTAAGGGAAGAACAAACGCTGATAAATTGGGTCATTACATAACAATCTTTAATATTATCTGATTTGATCATTGAGGCTTGAAGGGATTGTAGATCTGGGAAATTAGAGCAGTTCTTAAGATGGCTTACTAAAGTTTCGGTGTGTATAAATTTGATAGTTTGTGCAAATTTAGACGGAAAGAATTGGTTCAGGTAAGCTATGTCTTTCCGGCAGACTATTAGCGCCATGAAGTACGCGGATTTTTTCGAATTAGGGAAAAGGCGGAAACTAAATTATCCCCATTATCTCCAACAAGAGCTTGGCCAAAATCATTAAACTAAGACCGTGTTTACATTTATCGAAGTAAATTAGGAGTTAAAAGAACTTAAGTGAAATGAAGTGAAACTAAGTTGGAGTGAATAGGCCCTAATCTCAAATAAGTTTCTTTCAAAAAACTTCATTGGTTTGTTCAAAATAATTGCATCATTAGTACATTATACTTTTTTTTTTTTAAAGGAAGTACATTATACTGGTAGCAAATAATTAAGGGAATATTATAGGGTAAATAGAATATATAATTTCTAAAAAAAAAAAGAATCACGCGAAGTAATAACTTGAACTACATTAACTAACATTAAAAAAAAAAGTGAGAAACTTTGGGTCAATAGGTTATGTTAAATGGAGAAAACTTATAAGAATTTATATTTTAGAATATATTATAATATTTTTATCAAATTACTATTTTTTCATGTATGGGATACACTAGTCATAAAAATCATTCGTGGAGCAATAACAAAGCAAAAATTGTGGGAAAACTCAATCTTGAAGGAAGTGATGAATAAGAATGCATTTCATGCTTTCAAGAAAAGGCTCAAAGTATACAACCAAGAACTACTCTAATTTTCATTTACCTTGTTATCACTTATATGGTGTGTCGTATGTTTAATTCACCTGATTTTGACTTAATTAAACTAAATTCGTAACTAGTTTGATTGGATTTTGAAGTGTGTAGCATCTATTAACCTATATCAGGGTATATACAAACTTAACTTTCTCGAACTTCTGTTATACATTTAGATTTACTTAATTCATTTAGGAATAGTTAATTATCAAACATTTTGATCAACGTTAATAAGTTCAAATAATATCAGTGTTGAGAAAATTAAATTCAATACTATGCAATTCAAGTTTAATTTATAACTTGGGCTACTTAATACATTCTCTTGATTCATTCATGCAAGTTGCTTCTTCATAGTTTAAATTGCATTTGCATCTTCATACAAGTAGCATTTTAAGTTTTTACGCAATCCACCATCGTAAACTCGACGTGTCACCAGCAGGAAACCATCTTGAATTAAACAAACAAACGTTTTTGGAAGAGTTATATATCTAAACATACACAAAATTACATACAAGTATATAATCCAATTACCATTTTTACAATCCATGAAAAAAATACTTCTAGGTTTGAGTCAATCAATATAAAGGGCTTATACGAGGAAATATAGTTTTAATTAATAATTAAAATACATCTTAAGTACCCAAAAATGCTTCAAGTTTTATCTAAACAACTACAGATTACAGAGTAGTTTTTAGGTTGAAGCGATTTACATTATATCCATAATAAAAATCCTTATTACAGATGTTGTTTCGGATGAAAACAATGGGACCTTGTCGAAGGTCCGATGAAGTGGAGAAGACTAGATTCGATCCAAGTAATGTTGGGCCGAAGGTTTCCTGCACAGTAAACACACGTAAACTAGCCTCGGGGGTGTTGCCGAGGAAGGCCCCTCCGATGCTAAAGTCAGTACAGTGTGTAGAAAGAGAACACTATGCAAGAGAATTAATTGCTTGAGGCTTTTTTCTTAAATGAATGTACAAATGTAATATTGATGGCTTTTATACCTCTGCATACATGGAGAAGTTGGGCCTTAGCCCAATTGGCTTGCCTTGAGGACTGATCTTTGACTTTAGCACAATTGGAGAGATGAACCTTGACCTTGGGCTTTTAATTGGATCATTTAATGCCTAGGCCCAATTGGACTAAATTGGACCCAAACAACTTGCCCCCCAGACCCGATTTGGAAGGATGACGGGTCGGGTTTGATTTAATCACAAAAGGAGGGAAGTGAATGATTTAATTAATCCAAAAATTTGAATTTAAACCGTAATTAAGCCGTAATTAATGAGATAACAACAGTTAAGGCGGATAATTGTGGAAGTTGGACGGATAATGGGCAGTTTAATCGCAAGGTCGTGTGTTTAACGGTTACTTAGTGGGGTATTTAAGAGAAATTGAAACGCGGACTCCCCGTATTCCCATTTCTGGAGATATAATTAGAGGCGCGTCATCTCTCCTCACTTATTCACCAACACAAACCCAGAATTCTCGAGAGAACCCAAGAACCCGCATCAAAACTTCGCAAATTCCCCGAGCATTAAGCTTAGAAACTGAGACTCGCCACTACCAATTCGTAAATCGGCAACTTTCGCTTCAGATTAAGGTAAATTCCTTTGATTTTAGTTTATTTTTCTTCGAATTTGAACTCCTTCCCTTTTTTTTCGACTTTTTTCTTCGAAATTATCAATGGCGAGAGGAGTTAGGGGTAGAGCCCGTGCTCCAAGAAGAGCAAGGCCAATTCCCGATCCCAGGAACAGGATTGGGACCTGGAATGGACAAAGAGCAGAGTCTGACCCTGCTGAAGGGATTAGGGCGACTCCAATTTCCTCGGCTCCTCCTCAGAGAACGGAGGGGCCGAGCGCTTCTGGGCGGGACGATGAAGTTCCCGCTGTCCTTTGGGATATCCTACCCGGGTTTTCAGAGTGGGAGGATGCCGAAGTAGCTTCGGCCATGATAAAGAACCGCCTCTACTCATGGTGGGTGGAGAATGCCGAACAGTATCGGTTTGCCGAACAAATTGAGTTGCATTACGGCATCCTTGAAGCTGATGGGTATTGGTGCCGAATGCCCGTGGCATCCGATAGAATCCATCGTCCACCCCCGGGGTATGTGGGGGTGTACACTAGACAACTTCAGTATGGGCTGAGGTTCCCTTTGGACGTATTCGTCCGAGACTTGCTGATCCATTACAATATTTCCCTATGTCAGCTAACTCCTACTAGCATCCGAAGGGTGATGACATACTTATGGGTCTGCAAGTTCTTCAGGTATGTGCCGAACCTGCACTGCTTCAAAAAGCTTCATCGGCTAGTGCCAAATATTCAAAGTGGGCACGGAAGTCATGGTTCTGGGTGGTACCGGATTGAGTCTCGGCCCCAGTACCTAACCATGTGGCCGAACGACTCTTCAGACAAGGACTGGAGAGGTCAATGGATTTGGGTTAGGGCACCCACGGACCCGGGCCACCCTTGCGTCTTCAACGCTCCCAAGTATCTTGCTGAGCCTGATCCCGACATGGGAAGTTTAGGTCCCCCGAAGATAACGGCCCAGATCCGAACCTTAATCAACAGAACATCTTCGGCAAGCTGCCGAACCGGGGGGGGGGGGGGGGCAGTGGTTGAATGCAGCATATCCCGGAGACTTGGCTCCCCGATACGCATTATGTCTTCCAAGAGAACATGTTGGCAGCTGTCGGCCTCAGCCGAAAGTTTAAGGATGGTAAGCTTCTTCGGCTGGGGCCGAGGCCTTTTATTTATCTCTTTTCCTCCGTTTTCACTTCGCTCTTTTATGCTGTGCCAACCTAACTGAACTGACCTTTTCCCTCTTCTTTTTCAGAGCGGGACGAGACCAACGTCGGCATTAACTACACTCGTCTTGGCGTCAACCGAGAACGAGTTGTAACTGATCGGGCCCCCTCTATCACTGAACCGAGGCATAGGGAAGTTCATCTAGACTCTTCCCATTTACAAATTGAGGGTGTTGCTCTGTATCAGAGGCAGAAGCCTTGGTGGAAGAAGAGAGATCCCTGGCTTCAGCTGCTAGACGAAGAAGCTGAAGCTGCCCGTACGGCCGAAGAGGTTGCACGGGTTATCGAAGCTTGTGAAGGAGGAGAAGGGTCCTCCAGGGCTGCTGAAGAAGAAGCTACAGCTAGGGCAGCTGAAGAAGACGAGGCTTTGCTGAAGACCTCGGTGAGCTTTTAGACTTAGTTTTGTCTGTTTCTGTTTTTTTTTTTTACTCACATTCTTCCTCCCCCCTGCCTTTTACAGTCCGAAGAGAGTAATAGACATAGAGAAGGGAAAGCCCCTGCTCGTCCCGAAGACCAGATACAAGAAGAGTCTTCAGACTCAGACATGGACGAGTAGCCGCTTCAGAAAAGGCGACGAAGAATGGCCATCATCGGCCCGCATGACTTTCAGCGGAGGCCGATGACCATCGGCGTCGAAATAAGGGAACCCGAGGAAGGCAATGGATCGCAGAGGGTTCCCCGGCCACCACCTCAATCACCTCCAAAGACCCCTCCGCCACCTCCCGAGATGGAGGTGGATCAGAAAACTCCCGAACCTAAGGGAGGGGTCCAAGAAGAAGTTCAAGAGAGTGCTGCTGAGCACAAGAATGAGGATGCCGTGGTGCCCAGTGCTGAGGGTTTCACGGCAGACATTGCAAGAGAGGTTGAGGCCTTCGTCCTCACCCCTGAAGAAGAAGAGGTCATAATAATTGACTCTTCTGAGAAGAAGGATGCTGAGCCATCCAAAGTTAAAGGAGCTCCATCGTCATCCTTTCCTTCCTTCCAGACTCTGCAATCTGGAGAAATGGGTTTCTCGGCCCCCCGAATTCCAATCCCAGGTCACATCTGGGACCTCATATGGGGTCAGAACCGAGAAGGTGTTGCAGCCTACTTCGGCGATTTTGCTGGCATGTTCGAAGTAGATAGGGCAAGAATCTGGTCGCTGAAGGCCACTGTTGGGATGGGCAAATCCAGCAGATCAGTTCCTGACCCAGCCAGGCCTAACCAACTGCTGATGATGCAGGTGATTTTCCTCGCCTTTATCTCCTTTAAAATTCAGCTCTTTACTTATCATTACTATTATTATTTTTTATTTTAACTTGTGCTCCTGCTTTCAATTCGTGCACAATCAGACTCTCACTGTAGAGCTGATAGATACCCTACAAGATAGGGTAGACGCTGCCGAGCACGACAAAAAGGTAGCCGAAGAGGAGTTAAAGCTTGCTAAGCTGAAGCAAGCAGCAGCTGAAGAGAAGCAGCAGAAGGGTGAAGAATATGAGAAAAAAGCTGCTGGAGCCTTCAAAACCTTCTGCGATGCTATGGAGAAGGAAGTTTTTCCCCCACTGATGGAAGGGGAAAAATTCCTCCAAGAGCACATGGGAGTGGAC